GCTTGTTTGTAGGTGACTAAATATTTATTTTCCACCATGATTTGCAAATAAATTCTTTAAAAATCAGACAATGTGATTTTCTGGATTTTTTCCCCCATTTTGTCTCTCATAGTTGAGGTATACCTATGATGAAAATTACAGGCCTGTCTCATCTTTTTAAGTGGGAGAACTTGCACAATTGGTGGCTGACTAAATACTTTTTAGCCCCACTGTACCTTTATACATTCTAAATAACTTTTCTGGAGTCACATACCAATGGTATATCATTTTATAAAAGTTCTCTTTTAAGTTGTAACAGAATGTGAATTTTAATTCCTTCAACCACATGTTTTTCCACTATGCCAACAATATGTTATGTCCAACATTCTTAGCCCATTTTACTCTTTCACTTGCTTGTCCTCCATTTCAAATTTCAGCAAGAGTTTATACATCTTGGCAATTACATGTTCATCATTTGTACAGCCATCTTCTTTTTTCTGACTTATTTTTCCTGTCTCTCTCCCTCTTGATGACACTATTCCCCCTTGTTTCTCTTTTTATCTGTTTCAGCCTCTGTCCCAGGCAGAGGTCTGAATTCCTGCCTTTGATGGGGGCAAGAAACCTTGATTCTGGAGGGAAGGAAGAGTCACACCATTTACATCATATCTAGTCTAGTGGTACAGAAGACATGAGTATTCTTAAGAAATATTTTAAAAATATAGTAGTCCTGCACTAAGTAACAGATTGAACTTCAGCGGCCTTTTCTAACTCATACCATATTGTGATTCTACCTGTTTTTTTGTGTGTGCGCACCTGCCTGTGTGTGTGATAATTTATCATTATATTTGCTTTTTCTCCAGAACCCTAGTGACATTTTGACTGCACAGTACAAACCTCTGTCCTTGAAGAACATTTCCTCTTTGCCACTCAGAGTTGTTCTTTCTTTGCAAGAACCCTTTGCCCTCTGTGACATGAGTCACAAAGTGATTCCAGCTCCTGAACAGGTAAGAGAACTGTCTTTGATCTGAATACAGTTCACATCCCGGATAGCAAAACAGTCTCAGATGCTAGAGGGATAGAAAGTCTTAATGGATTACAGTATGAGAAAAATACAGTTAGGAGCATGCATGTGTTTTGTTTCAACTCCAAAACAAGCAAATCAGGTTTTGGAAATTCTGCCAAATTTCAGATATTGGTTTGACAGAAACAAATCCCAGAATATTTTTGGGCAAAATAAAACCTGGACAAAATCAGAGTGATTTTTCAGGGTGAGTAAGGAAGACTGATGTGCCTCATTTCTCTCTCTATCCCTCAGCATGACTTATCAGCATAATACATATTTTAATTCCAGCCTAATATATATTTTCAGGTCTTTTAATCATTCTAATCTGTTCCTAATATTGTATGCCAGTCAGAGTCATTATGGAGTTGGTCAGTTTTACAAATTTGAAGAATAAAGAAGTTCTCCCCCTCATCTTTCTGGTGCTTTCTGTTACCTCCCTCCCTTGCTTCCCCTTAGTTGCTGCCAGCATCCTTGGCTTTCTCCTGTTCTCCCCTCCGTCCCACGCCCATTTGACTTCTGCTTAGTGCTTCAGTCCATTCAGGGTCCACTGGAGTTGGGAGGCCAGTAAATTTCCATACATATGTACATACCTGGAAAAAAAATCAGGTCCCATTTCATTCTGTATCTAGACCTGTATCTAGGCATGTTTGAGCCATTCCAAAAACAGCTGTTCCATGCACAGAACCCTTCATGCACAAACTGTTTTGCATATCACTAATATGTATTTAACTTTGTTTCCAATTCAGCCTTTAATGATGGGTGTTGGAGAGATACATCATCTTTCTATCAGATTTGACCCCATCTATAGAGATGACCTGTGCAGTCGAGTATCAGAAGAAGTTCTAATTTTGCGTTACTTGGAGCATCCTCATGTGGACTATGTCGATCTCCGGGGAGAAGTGCATTTCCCAAACCTCCACTTCCAAACAATGGATCTCAATTTTGGCTGCATCTTGAATGACACAGAAGTTATACGTGACATCACTATGAACAATTGCAGTCCCCTTCTTATCAAATATCGCTGGTCCTTCCTGACAGATGATCGTGAATCCTTTATCAGGTACTAGCCATGGTGTGCTCTGGAATTTTGCCTGATTTCTAGTTATTCCTACAATATTTCATTATGTAGTAATGAATTCAGTGAACACGTTCCATTTTCAGAAGCTGATTTTTGAGGAATTACTTCTGACTGAGAAAAGTGCTCTGGGTGAGATTCTAAAAGATCTAGCTCCTTTCTCATTTCTGAGTTTACAGCAGTTTCCATAGATTTTTATTTTTCTTGTTTAATACAGGTAGTTCTCATTTAGCAACCACAATGAGGTCCAGCAACTTGGTTGTTAAGCCCTTTTTCCCTACTCCCCTGCCCTTTGGAATGCTCACCATGGCGCTGGGATAATTAGCAAGAAAAAAATAGATGTTTGTATTTACATTCATTGGAGAGGAAGGGATTACAAGAGAGTAAGCAGGCACACAATGGGGAATACACATTGAAAGGAATGTGCTAGTACTGGCTGTTTGCCTAGTGTGCTCATGCGTGCTGGAGCTGCTTAGGAGGCAAGAAAAGCCTTTAGTGGAAACTTGGCAATTTCAGGCATCAGCAGTTAACTTGCGGTTAGCACTTCTTAGGGAAGCACTGGGCTGTGGAAAAAGCAGCTCAGGAAGAGATAGCTTGTTTAAGCAATCTCTCCCCTCTTTGCGGGGAAGGGAAGAAAAAAATGGGTCAGGCCCAGGACAATGCTGCAAAGGTCATAAATGCGGGCATTGGTCACAAAGTTACTTTTTCATCCCTGTTGTAACTGTGAACGGTCGCTGTCTGAGGTAGTTGCTAAACAAGCACTACCAGTAGTTTCAAAGACTAGTTTGTGTTTTATTGGTCTTCTCATTGTATTAAAATCAAAGCAATTTATGTGGACTCTCAACCCTATTTTTGCTTTCCTGGGGGTGCTATATCTCACTATTTATTTTATGGTATGGTCTCTCCTCTGTATCTTATCCTCACTAAAAATATTCCAGAACTGCTAAATTTTGTTCCGTGGTTTTTTCATTTGACTTTTGAAAATGGGAGAGGAACGGAAATTGTAGAAAGTTCTCAGATATCTCCCTCCAAATCTATCTCACTCATTCATGAACTGGGAAACAGCAATTTCCACAAGGCCCCAGGAATTGCAACAAATGTGATTACATTTTATTACAATACTTGTGATAGAGATTAGAGGAAGTAGCTTGATGGATAGTTTCTATGAAGCTGCCCCTCACAGCAATTTCAAGTAGTTAAATTGTCCTGTGGATCCTGAAGGAATGAATAGAGGATTATACCAAATTTGGGGGGGGGGGGACCAAACAAAATACATTTATTTAATTATACTTTCATGAATGAATAAATAAATAAAAATCAACTTCCCAAAGATCCCACAAGTGCTGAAGCCTGTCAAAGATCTTTTTCAGTCTTCTCTCTTTCATCTAAAACATTAGTCGCTTCTCCCGGCTTTGTGTCATTTGCAAGCTTTTTAAATGTCTCAGCTCAACTTGTGTGTAGTGTACGTTTTGCTAAGGAGCATACCAGGAGGCACACTGTCAAAGGCTTTGTTGAGGTCCATGTACACATCCGTAACCTTCTCCTGATGAAGCTATTTTATCTCCTTCCCTTTATAGAATTATCTCCTAACGAAGAAGGAAATAGGATTAGTCTGGCATGATTTAGCATCCTGGAACATAATCCATCTGGGGTTAGAGACCTGAATTCATGTTTGCCTTCTCCTGCATCCTAAATTGCAGATAATAATAATGCATAATAATGACCAGTAAAGACTCAATTTCCCTTTTAAGAGAAGATAATGCAAAATAGAAGTTAAGAACTTTTGTTTTCTAACCATTACTAACCATTCACCAGTTTTTCCTTTTAATGGACCCATACCATTGTTAGCTTTCTTATTAGAAAGTAACCTATCCAGAGGACCCTTTTTGCTGTTTCTGGTATCTCTTACAAGCCTCAGCTTCTTCTGAGTTTTAACATCTCTTTTACAATTTCTAAAGTTTCTGAAAGCTTCCTTTACTCATCTTTAGCTATGTGCCCCTCTCTCCTTTTCTTGTGCAAATCAGTGTGGTGTCAGATTTGGACAAGATGAATTAATCACATATCTTCTTTTTAATTATTTGAATTTCAAAAATGTACCTGGTGCTGGTACATTTTAACATGCCCAAAATATTTGATACAAGTTGTTTCCGGGATGCTTAATTCTGATACAGACAATGAAATTCCACCATTCCTTGAAAACAGCAATCTACTACTTTGCCTTGTCATGCAATGGATTTTGTCAGAGACATTTCCAAGTAAAGCTATAGATGAGATTTTATGCCATTTATCCATTGAAATATTGTCCAGATATTTCCATTGTTTTGAGAGCCAGTTTGGTGTAGTGGTTAAAGGCACTGAGTTAGAAACTGGGAGGCAGTGAGTTCTAGTCCCTCCTTAGGCATGAAGCTAGCTGGGGACTTTGGGCCTGTCGTTCTCTCTCAGCTCTAGGAGGAAGGCAGTGGAAAACCACTTCTGAAAATGTGAAGAAAACTGGAGGGACTACTCCATGTAGTCTTCAGGAGTCAGGACTGATTTGAAGGCGCTAAATAACTAACTAAATAAATAATCCGTTGTTTAGCAATGACTAATTTGGCTGCTGTAAGTCAAAACATAATGAGTTTATTACTTTGCATTTTTTATTCTGGCCATCAAGTGTGTAACCATCCTAGCTTTGGAGTGAATTGAATATTTTGTTTAGTTGTGTCAGATACTACTTTAAACGTATTCTTCCCAAACTCAGATACGTTATCATATTTCCACCAATTTTCATTACTTTTAAAATGGAATTGACCTGACACCACGGGACTTTTTGTTCTAATTATTGTTCAACTGTTTCTAAATTATAAGGTTTGGAGTTTTTGCAGAAAAACTTTATTTTTCCATAATTTCAATTGTGAAGCTTTATCTTTGTTATAATTTGGGTATGTTATCAATGGAGTTAGAAGTGAGTTGCCTGGAATGAGTTCTGAAACTCAGCCCCTGAGAGATGCCTGCATTTATGTTTAAATCTCCTCCTCTTATCATGTTCTCTACCCCAACTTTTATTAACCTTTTAAATACTTACCTAAGAAATTGTGCTTATCATTGATTTGGAGAATAAATTGAAACCACAGTAAATGATAATTTTCCCTTGATAATTATGTCCATTGTTATCCTTGAATAATCTATGCACTTTAAAGTTTAAAGCAGCTTTAAATAAAACAATTTTTCTGTTACATGGCAGTTGAGAGGAAATTTACAGATATTTTTGTGTCCCCTAATCCTCTAATGTTCAGTGAAACAAATTTACAGATATCATTCATGAAATATTATTGTTGCTGCTTTGGATACCTTACATCCCATGAAATAATCTGAATTTATTCTGAGCTTTTAAGGATAAGCTTTTTGTGGTTTGTACTGGTAACAATCCTGTTGCTTCTTGCTTTCTCCTCTCCGAAGCTGCCACTCAATGCAGTGTCCATCCCTACCCACAAGTCTTCCCTCTATAATGATCCCCAAATTCTTAACAGCCATGCTCTCCTCCCTCACCAAGCCCCCTCTCTGTTCAGCCTAAGCATCCTGGTGGAGATCCCGGTCTGCGCCTCTCACTTCCAAAAGGATACTGTGTTTTTCAGGTTCAGCTCAGAAAGCACGAGGCCTCTCCTTGCGCAGGAAAGAGCAGAAGAGCAGGAGATTCCGCAGCCACCGCAATGCCCTGCAAGGTACAGGATCTGCAAGGGTTCCACCAGGTTTGTATGTGACAAATCTGCCAAAGCCAAGCCTGCAGAATGACAAACGGCCTTGACAAGGAATAACTCTGCTGACCGTCCAGCAGGCCCACTGCCCACACAGGCACCTCTGGAAAGAGGGCTTGGCAGAACGGAGAGGCAGCAGGTGGAAAGAGCTGGCCTCGGGAGTTAGAGCCAGTGACAAGGATGCTTTGAATGCTGTCTGTGATCCTCAGGGCCCAACTTCATTTAATTTACTCTTTTCATCAGCTAAATCACTAATTTCATAAGTGGCTACAATAGTTGGGGGTAAAACCCGGCTATGGCTGAGAATGGGTTGCCTCACAAGCATCTTTCCCACCCCACTACCTTCTGTGCAAAGTGATGCTTCTGCCAGTGTTGCTGGAAGTAGCTGAGGAGAAGTAGCTGCTGGTCAGCAGCTGTGCAAGGCTATGGCATAGGTGAGGGAGAAGCACTCCGATCAGGCACTCTTGCTGTGTGAGCCTTGGAGCATCAGGAAGCAGTCTGAGTGCTTGCCTTCAGGCAGACGGTCCAGGCAGCTCCAGGCAGCTGTGCCCAAATCCAGCACCTTCAGCTTGTAGCCCCAGGGGCTCCTGACATTCTGGTTAGGCATTTTGAGGTGCTGCAGGAGCTCTTGCGCACCTTGGAAGTGCAAGGCCAGTGAAATTCCACTGAGAAGCTTCTATGGGAAAGAACCTACCTTTTTGGCAGGAAGTATGCTCTAAGTATATGTTCCTCTTTAACTACCTAACTCAGTTCCTTTTTAATTATCATAACGGTTGCATCATTTGGATTATGCTCCTTGGATTCTATCAATGCTGCTGGGGAAAATTGTTTATTCTTGTTTTCTTTAGGTTATTTTTTAACTGATTTTTAAGTTAGCATATTGTAGCTATGATTCTTTGATGATAAAGACCTCAGCAGTTGTAGGACTGGGGAGGTGCAGGCATTGGGTGCAACCACAGGGCTGTGATCTCTAGAGCACTATCTCACCAATGGGCCTGTGGCGGAAGCAAATTGCTACCAACTTAGAGCCATTCAGTTCACCCAGGCCTTTGGCAAGGACGAGTGAGATCCCTCGGTTATCTTTATTTTTTATGTTTTATTGATGTTATTGTAATTTTTTTGTTTGATTGTTGTGAGCCTCTCTGAGTCATCAAGAGTCAGGCAGCATACAAGTTTAATAAATTATTATTATTATTATTATTATTATTATTATTATTATTATTATTGAAAAGGAAACAAAGTCAATTTCTGCATTCACTTCCTAACATTTCCAGAACTGGACACACAGTTCACGAGCTTCCCAGCTACGGGCACATGTTCTGAAAAGAACACTTGTGGCATTGGCAACAGCACCTTACTTTGGTCTTTATAGATGCTCACAACTGAAGCTCAACTGTCCAGTAAGATTTCATGCCACATCAGCTGTCTGTGGGGGTCCTCCAAGCCATTGTTTTGATTCACTGCCCTTGAGAGGGTGTATCTGCATCTAGTATAGGCACTTGATACAGATCGTTCTACGCTGGGCTTTCCTAAAAAAAAAAGTCAGAAACATTCATCTGAGTGTTGATTTTCATAAAGAGAAGACTTATTCAGAAGTGACACTTGCTGGTTCTGGAAAATCTGTACTGCTATCAAGTGTCCTGAACTAAGTAAGCAGCAAACAACAGGAGAAAATTAGTATGTTTCTAACTGTTTTATTAGCTCGGTTCATTAATTGGTTAACATAGCAGATAAAGTTAAGCTTGGACTGAAGGATTATAAATCAGAGAGAGTCATTTTGCTGCAGCTTGTATTATTGGCTAAAAACAGCTGAGAAGAGAAGCTCAGTTACTGTTCAGGTGCAATCCGATAGACTAGAGCAAATGAAGTCCATGATATTCAGTCCATAGTCATAAAGCCAGCCAAGGAGAGGGGAAGAAGCACAAATGAAAAGCCAAAGAAATGCAGGTAAGGAAGAGAACAAAGGGGGAAAGCTGGGGGCTGCTGTTATATTGCTCCTGGCTTTGTCCACTGTTTGTGCACTGTTGGGAGACGTGAAAGAACAGGTTAGGGATAGATCATCACGGAGAAAATCTGTGTGATCTCTGTGAGTCAAAAATGACGATGGCACATAATTAATAAATCAATTCGACCAATTAAAGGAACAGCGCAGATGAATGGTATTCAGCCCACTTCAGCTGATGATGCCCATTTGATCTCCCGAGATCAGGATCTGACTCCCTTGTTATTTGAGTCAGCCGTCAGCTGTGCTGGGTCTGAGTCATTATTCTCAACTGGCTGACAACCTCTTGACTCCCCAACTGTAGGATGAGAGTTTTCCAGGTTCTCCTCTTTATCCTCAGAATCAGAGGAGTCCATAATACCAAGTTCCTTTCAGCAGTTCTTCATCAGGAAGAAATTTCCTGTTTCCTGTTCTGAGACTTATATCCAGCACGATCCCATTAATTCCATTACATACATAGTCCTGTACAGGTAGTCCTCGCTTAACAACCCTAATTGGGGCTGGAATTTCCATTGTTAAGCGAAGTGGTTGTTAGGTGAAACGTCATGTGACTGCACTGCTTAGCGACAGCAGTTCTGGTAGTCCCGGTTGCAGTCATTAGGTGAGAACTGCACTGTTGCTAAGTGAGGACCTCATGCTTCTCGTGCTCCTCCCTGAAGGCCAGTGTAGACCTCGTGAAGGGCCAGCAGCTACCTTGGCCAGGCATGCCTCATCACCATTGGGAGGAAGAAGACAGTGAAGATCAGCTGGGGGGGGGGGTAGGCAGCGGCAGTAGAGTGCAGGGCAACCAAAAGGGCAGAGATGGAGGGGAGATAGGGAGGTGGGTGGGGTTGAAGCGCACACTGCAGTCGTAAATGTGGGCAGGCTGCCAAGTGCCTGAATTTTGATCACATGATCACAGTGGTGCTGCAGCAGCCATAACTTCGAGGACTGGTCGTAACTACCATTTGTTCAGCACCGTTGTAACTTTAAACAGTCGCTGTTGTAGGAAGAGAGCTGTATGATTCTATGGCAGCAAAAAATGAGAAGGACTTTAGTTGTACCTTTTCCAACTAACACATTTTTTTAGAAAGGCTTAAGCTTTCATGAACTGCAGCTCATTTCATAAGATGCAGAAAGTGGCTAAACTGATGTAGGATATAATTTGGGATGAGTTGGGTGGGAAGGGAGGAGAAGACAGGTTGATTATGTGATGCAGGTTAAATGTGAGACAGATTATAAGTACCTTATCAGTTAACAATTGTAATGAGTTAATTGTTAATTGTCAATTGTTGATCCCCCTGATCTGAATAGCTGTATAATTCATCTCTTCTAATATTTGGTTCTAGGTGGGACTGCACTCCCCCGCTCAGAACCAGTACAGAGTTTGAGAGCAGGTGGCAGCTGTGGTCAGGCAGGCTTTGGAAGAACTCTGTCTTGTACTCTGATTGCACCCATTCTGGATTGGGAGGCCCTGCTCAGAGTCACTCATGCCTCAATTCTGCCATGTGCTCTACATGGGGCTGCCCTTGAAGACCATCCACAAGCTGCTACTAGTCCAGAACACAGCCATATCAATAGTAAGAGGTGCACCTGTGAGCTGCAGGGTAGGCTTCCAGGTGCAGTTGAAACCCTACATGGCACACAGCCAAGTTATTTGCAGGGCTGCCTGTTACTCCTGCCCATCCCATGAGATCATACAGCGTGGGCATGCTCCAGGTCCCTTCTTTGAAGTAGTGTCACCTAGGAGATGCGCCTTCTCTGTTGCTACACCTTCCCTTTGGAACAAGCTCCCCTCTGTGGTTTGGATGGCCCTGACTCCATTAGTCTTTTGTAGAGTCATGAAGGCCTGCCTTTTTTCCTGTGCATTAGACCAAGATGGTAATCAACTGTAGTTTATTGTACTGGTTTTGTATTTATTTTTAGACTTGATTGTTTTTAGAAATTGTGAGTGGAGCAGCTTTATAAATTCTATAAATATATTAAGCTGAATAAGGAACTTGAGTGTTGCCTACAAGTATATGCCAATAGAGGTGAATATGTGTAGCTCAGGGTTGAACTGTGGAGTCCTTGAGGTTCTCTGGGCTTGGTTCTTTTCTTGCAAACGTTTCATTACCTGGCCAGGTAAAATCTTCAGTGCTAAAATGGGATGGGGTTTGCTCTCTATTCATATACTGTGGCCTGCCTTGC